GAGGCAGAGACAGAGAGAGACAGACAGAGAGAGACAGACAGACAAGAGAGAGAGAGAGAGAGAGAGAGAGAGAGAGAGAGAGAGAGAGAGAGAGAGAGAGAGAGAGAGAGAGACAGACAGACAGACAGACAGACAGACAGAGACAGAGAGACAGACAGAGAGAGAGAGAGAGAGAGAGAGAGAGAGAGAGAGAGAGAGAGGCAGAGACAGACAGACAGACAGACAGAGGACGATCAGGGAAGTCGAAGCGTGGTGCGCGGCACTTCAAGGAACGCCAATCGATCGGTCTTGAAAGGTTCAGAGTGCTGCCCATCAACAAGCACGGGCACACCGGCAGCAAAACACACGTTTTGGTAGAGGGCCTCGCGAAATACCGACAGTGTTTCTTTGCCTCTTTTGGTCGGGTAGGGAGGCCAAGACGCCGCAAAAAAAACACTCTTGCAGGCGTTAATCACTGCTGGCAGTACAAGAGTAAGTGTCTTCTCTTGCCAGTACTCTGAACCTGGACACTAGACCCTGTCGTCCAATCTCCTCTGCGCCCCCCCCTCCCCCCCCCCCCCCGAACTCGCTGACTAGAAAGCGTGTTCGCGTTTATATCCCGTACAAGCTGACATATTTTCATCGGGTAGCACCGCCGAAGCGACTAAAAAAACAACACACACACGCACAAGAGGAGCTTCTGTCCAAGGCAGAATGGGACGAAAATAAATCTCAGTTCGCCTGTCTCGGGCCGATTGTTTCCGCGGCTGCTTCCAACGTGGTGCTCCCCGGCGATCGACACACACCCGCATATTTCGCGCAAGAGACGTAAGGTGCTCCGGAGACCAACGGTTAAGAACTGGGCACAACAACCGGCGCTGCGAGAATTCGAGGTGCTCAGTGTGGTATTTTCGTCGTGGAGGAACAGTGTTCATGTAGATAGGAGAAGCCGCTTGGCAACGTCGGTGGACACGCCGTACAATTGCAAGTCAAGGTCTGCCCGAGATGTGTTTCAGACAGAATGCATGTTTGTATCTTTTTTATCAGCAACAACAACAACAACAATAACAACAACGACAAACGCACCTGGTAGTGCTCGTAGTCGATGAGGCACATGGTTACCCACGGGTCCCCCGTTGCCACGTCGCGCAGCGCGATGGGAAGCCACATGGAGCCCGGCACAGTGTCCTCAGTCGAAAAGTCCAACGATTCCGATGTCTTAACTCTAATCTGTCCCACCTGGCCAAGCATTGTACACAGGCATGTACGAGCGCCGGGGGGGTTACGCATACACTTTCCCTCGTCCTACTCTCTCTTTGAACTCGTTGACCACGATGCCAGTTGAGTCAATATTGGAGCGATCTGCTTGAGCTCCGATGACCTAACGGCATCATTCCCGTGTCACTCTCGAAGACCCGCCGATCGCATCTCCCGCGCGGGCCCCAACGTTGCAATCAATCGTCTCCTCTTGGAACGAACCGGTTGAAACAATGGATCATACCACTTGACTCGCGCCACTGACTGGGGGAGGGGACGCGCCACGGCTTCACGGCAAATTGGTAGGAGGCTCCGCTGATTCGTGAATCGCACTGAACAACACTGACCAAATCGAAAGTTGCTGGAAACGCGTGTGTGTGTGTGGGTTAAACACTGACCAAATCGAAAGTATGCTAGAAACGCGTGTTTGTGTGGGGGGGTTATCTAGTCTACGTACATCAACAACGAGACGATAACTCGCCCCCCGTGACAAGGGATGACACTACGCGGGCGCACCCAGCTGTAGTCGAAACGCTGGCGTGCATAACATTCTGCTGGTTGCGTCGACTTGACAAGACGAGACATCAAGCCCTCCCCATCGTTCGCGCTTTCACCGGGATATTAAAAAAAAAAATGCCAGAAGAGTTCATGTTTCATGCAGCTGGAGGCTTACTCGCCATTACATAGCGCCTACCGTGGCTGCTTGATGTAGGGCACTCGCTCGTCAACGTCGGCACGTCACCATCACCCCCCCCCCCCAATACCACACAGCTGCCCCCCCGACTTGCCAAGACTAACCAAACCTCACCCAAAAAAAAACAAACCCAATCGGGTCGAAACACGCCGCGCTCTCTACCCCTGCCGCAACCTGCCGCGAACGGGACGTAGCCCCCCCCCCCTCCCCCCCCGTATTAACGCACGCACCTTCGGGAGGAAACCCCCGTCCTCCGTTTCCTCAAAAACCTCGACCTTTCCTTTTTTCGTCGGCAGCCCCGCCGCCACCTCTCCTTCTGCTGGGTTTTTCTTTATGGGGGGTTCGCCTGCGCCAGCTGCATCTCCCCCGTCTGGGACTACGGGCTCGGCGCCGCCCCCGCCCTTGTTAGGCTGGCCCTCATTTCCTCTCACGCCGCCACCAATTGCTTCTTTTCCTCCTTCGATAATAGCAGCCTGCGGTGCGTCTGCCGCCGTGTGTGCGCCGCTTCTACTGCCTCCGCCACCGATTGCTTTGTAAGTTGAGCTGATGGCGGAAGGGGGAACGCGTGTGCATGGCAGGGGGGGGGGGGGTATTCTACGTTTACACCAAGTTGTGTAGATAAGCGCTCGTGAATCAGTAGGGTTGCAGTTGTTACAGCGGTATACGGGTTCCCTACATGACTTGCTCACGAGTCGAACCCGTATTCGTCTAGACTCTGCAGCAGTTGGCTATCATGAGCCGCGACCTGTTTTGGAAAGTGAGACTCTCTGCAGCAGCAGCAGCAGCAGCAGCAGCACCACCACCACCACCACCACCACCAGAGAGCGAAGTCGAAGCGTTGGTGCCGTTGACGCAATCGCCACATGAGGCTCAGTATGTACGGTACAGGCATGACGTATCTCGCCAGACAGCAGTAGTAGGGCGGTGGACGAGGGAAGAGGTAAGCGAACAACGCCGCCTCCAGCAAGCGCAACGTGAGGAGAAATGAGAGACTGAGACGATCCTAAACTGTCCGCTCGAGAGAACGGCTAGCGCTGGCTCTGTTTGAAATGAGCTCCTTCTGCCAGGTTCCACACCGCGCTGCCCGATGGGCTGCTGTATCTGTACGTTGTACGTAGTGCAGTCGTCCGTGTCTGCCACCCACGGCTCTTCGTTTGTATTTGTGCCGGCAGTGCTGTTTTTTTGGGTGGCGACCATCTTGCGCTACTCTGTGGCAGGGCGAGCGTGTCACGGCGCAATGTGTGTTGTGTTCCGAGCGGACGCACCAGCATCTATTTTCCCTGATCTGATATGTCTCCGCGTGTGTGTGGTTGCTGCCTAGAAGGAACGTTACTCGCCAGCATCGCAGATAGACTACCACTGCTGTAAGATGTAAGATATCGACTCGTCCCCCGCCGCTCGTTACCCGTCCCTACTGCTGGTAGTACAACATACTTGCTGCTGGCGCACACACTTTCAAGTGTATACCGCTGTAGATTGATTGGATCCTGATCGCGGACCCGCATTCGCAGCGTTGAACTGTCGATTTGGGTCTTTCATCCCTCCAAGAACCCACATTTTTCTATTTTCCCCCGGCACAAACATGAGCAGGCTCGTGATACGACATCTGGACCCTGGTCACCTTTCGCTCTTGCCTTTCGGGCCTACGAGGATCACAGGGGACGCGCAAGCCCCTTTGTGCAAGAGGTAAAAACCAGGTGTTAGAAAATACCGCCGTGGTGTGTCCTGGAATTATTCGGGTGTGCGGCCCAGTACGATCACATTCCGCACCTGGGGTGAGAGCTAAAGCTACTGGCGGCCGTGTCCCTGCGCCTGAACAAACCAGACCAAACACGGAAGAGATTATGGTCTACCTGGCAATCAGTGTGCCGTATGCAGAGGTAGGCACTCATGCCGCATCCCCTACGGCGAAAAATCAACAATCTACATGTTGTCAGGGTGTGCGACTTGGAGAGGGAGCGTGATGGTGCGGACAAATCAATAGTTGTTTCCGCCGCCCTCTCCAGCCATGTACAACAACAATTCACGGAGCTGGACGCCTTGAGACACCTCCAGCCAGGAACGAGGGCCTAGGTATCTCCGCACAACCATGCGTCTTTGTTACCCACCACCCCACACAGCCGTAGAGGGCGGTTGGTTGGTGCCAACCCGCCTTCGGGACCGAAACACTCACATGCCAGCGGCAGCCAGAACCACCACCGCTAGGCACACCAGGCGACCCCGCGCCCGCTGCCCCAAGCCGGGGACTCTTCGCGGCGGCATTCGTCCAGCCTCAACAGTTCAACACAAAAATAAACAGGGCCTGGTCCTTTGCGGCAGCCCTCCCTCCCCGGAGCGAACTGAGAGGATACAGAACAACCGACAGAACAGCTGACATCCCACCTGAGCCCCTCATCACGCCAGCACGCCTAATCGTGGGGGGTAGACGAAATGACGGAGCCCCCGGTCGTGCTTGTGTGCTTGTGTATTGGGAATTGGGAGCGTCGCCAGAGAGAGCAGAGAGCGCTAGTAGAACGCCCATCGCAAGGGTAGTCTTTGTAAGTGCTGAGCAGGGTGGGGGGTGGGGTACCAGTGGAGAAACGCGAGAGGGTGGCGGTGTGGTCGATCAACCTCGTTAGATATTTTTTTTGTCTTTTTTTGCGGAGGGATAAGCCGGTTCCGTCGTCCCATGTTCAAGCGGTCCAAGACAACACTGCCGACTGGAAGAACGCAGTACAAGTGCTCCACCGACTGGAAGAACGCAGTACAAGTGCTCCATTGCTGCTGTCGTCGGGTCTGCAGGAGTCACCACACAGGACTAGAGGCTATAAGATCCTTCAGCTGCTAGGACGGGGCTGGTGGTGGTCAAGAAAGCCCCGGCTGATACACTGCAGCAGCCAAGACACTCGAAACTTTTCAACAACGTCAACTATTGTACGCACAGGAAAGGGAACATCACACGCACCTCCGCCGGTGTGCAAAGCTGCAGCACGCGCACAAGACGCTGCCAGGATGGCCGCCGTTAGCGCGAGGAGGAGAAGGAGCAACGGCCATGGTCCAGTCGACCGCTCTTCCCGTACAACGACGAGAGCAAACAAGACTCTCCTCTTCTTCTGCTACCTGGTGCTGCTGCTGCCGCAATGTGATTCCGCCGCATCTTCTTACCAAGACAGCAAGGTTCTGCCTCTGTTCGTGAGAGCGACGAACAATGCGCACGGCAGCAGGGAAATACGCGGGGAAGATGGCGGTGGCTGGAGATGGGAGGACGACACCGCTGGTGATGCTTGTGGCTCGTCCGAAGAGGATGCCTGTCAGGATATCCGAAGGTGCAACAAGCGTGTGTGCATGATTCCCGGCTTACAGCACGCTCGCGACTTGAAGTCATCCCGTCGAACAGGGTGTAGTGTCGATGGGGTCACAGTCTTTCGGGTGGGTGTAGGTCCTGCTGTATATTTCTAAGAAGCGGCATTGTTGTGTCAAGCGGTACACTCGCTTGGAGCGATGTGGCCAACTGCACACTTGTTGCGTTGACAAATTGCGACCCATCATGTTGTGGCAAAAAGTCGTGTACACTCACACGTTGCCGAACACATCGATCAATCCGGTCGTGCTTGGCGGTCATGGCTGTTACCTTGTTTACCCTTGGTTGCGTTCCACAGCTGTGGTGTTCATGCGATCCGCGCAGCCAGAAACGTTGTGTCGGACGATAGTTTCCATTCCGCTTGGGACACAACACTTCATGAGTGTTTGCGATCGGAATTGCTGCTCCTGTTGCGAACAGCGTGTTGCTTGTTTCGTTCAGTCCGTCATGGGCTTGGCCCCGCGCAGGAAGCGTCCTCCCTACTCGATACAATTCTGCGCTGCCGCCGAGCCACCTGCAGCGCTTACGTGACAAACAACCAGCTGTTTTTGTGGCTTGCAAGGTTCGCTCTACATGATGGAACGTGTAGGGGATAGGGGCAGGGCGTGGTTGCAGTGAGAGGGACACCTACCCTCTCAGAGGAGGTCGGTATGAAAGTCCATGCGTGGGGTAGCGAACTTCCAAACCATATAGTTTTTTGGATCTCGATTTTCACTTGGTTTTAGAGTACAAATTCCCCCCCCCTCCAGGCTCTCTGGAGGTTCCCTGCATGCGTACACGAAATGCTATTTCTTCGTGCACCCTTGATCACACCCTGCTACATCCCGACCTTATCCTTGAGTTCTGCACATTTTCTCTCTATTTCAGTGCTTTGCTTGCGGTACCGGAGGGCATGGCCGAGGGGAGCCGGCCGGAGCTGAGGCTTCTCCCGGGTTTGTACACAGGGAATAGGAACGTTTTCATCGGAGGGATTGGGGACAAGGAATACCCCTCCGCGGCGAGGTGAGCTCGCGTGTATGGACGGGGCCACCGTCGCGTTCCGTGCAGTTGTTTTTATCACAAAATATACCAGTTGTTGGAGTACTAGAAAATATATACAACAACAGAGCCCCACCCATGCGAGATGATCCCACAGTTCTAGTCGAAGGGTATGGTGCGTGAATGTGTTTGCAGTGAGTGTTGGATCTTATTTTTTTTCTAGCTGAAGTATCACGAACTACTGTACCTTCCTTCGTAGACGTTGGAGGGGAGGGCGGTGATCGCGTCACACGTGTCCTCCTCGTACTGTGTCGAGCGTTAGGTACAGGACGGCAGTGGGTACCCCAGAGCCTCCTGGTCAAACCGTGAGGTACAGCAGGCGACGCGGCACCCTGTCGCCGGCAGTTGAACCCAATCAATTTTATCATGACCATTTGCCAGCAATAATAGTACATCCCCCAATCTTGAGCTGCAGCGAAACGTGGAGTACACGTGATTGGTCGAACACGTGTGGTTTGTTCTCCTTCTCAGCAGGGCTATTAAACGCATGTTTATTGAGGAAGGTCGTCGGCGTGGCACGGTCAACCAAGCTCGGCGATGTAGATGTATTGCGTGCACCATGGTCAACCAATGGGGGGAGGGACCATTATTGTCGATGTACTGTCTTTCGCATGCGACGCTCCTCGCTGCCTCTCTTGTGTGGCCGTTTCAAATGCAGCAGATCTTGTTTCGCGTCGGACATGCGGCTGTTTTTGTTCAAGGGGCCTCGGTAGGCCTTGAGCCAGAACGACGGATCCTCGCCCTCCATTCCCCCTCACAGCATTCCATTCCCCCTCACAGCATTCTCGCTGCTTCTCTTCGTCCGACTCATTATCTTCTAAATGTATCACACCAATGCGTCACTACCCACAGCTAAGAGTTTTTATTTGTTTTGTTCTTTCGGTTTCAGAAACGTGAGTATTGTCGGGTGGGGCGCGTCACCGCACGTCGCCGAAGAACCAGCGCACGCGTACGCGAGCACAGCCGCCGTGATCTCCTGCCAGGGGAGGAAGTCGGACGGCGATTCACACCCGGCCACGCGCGGGATTTGGCTGAGCGAGGGGCGCATCACTAGCCTAGCCAACCTCACCGTCACAGGTGCGTGAGTGAGTGGGTGGCGTGTGCGTCTGCCTAAGGGAAAAATCGGAGCGTGTGCGTCTGCGGCGCGCGTTCGGGCCATACCGTGTGTGCTTCGAGCGCCGTTTCCCTCTTTCGCGACAGCAGTTGACTCGCACGCGGCATGTGATCGATCCTCTGGCCTTCCATTTTTTTTGTTTTTTGTTTGCATGCGCCGACCGCCACAGACTGCCCGGCGGGGGGAGTAGGCGTCGACGCCTGGGCCGGGGACGACCCGTTTTCGTTCCCGGTGCTATCTTCCGTGACCGTCGCGGGAAATGGCGGGGATACGTGCGAGAAGGGCGGCGGCGTCTTTGTCACTGCAACAACAGCGAGCGAGGAAGGAGGGGGCTCCGTGGGCGGCGACACGGCGCGAACGAGGGGGGGGTACCAGACGGTGCCAGCGTTGACCGTGTCGGGTTGCGTCATTCGCAACAACACCGCGCGGTCGGGCGGCGGGATGGCCGTCAGTTCGGCACCCACCTCTCTGCTGCTAGCGTCTCGACCCCGGGCGGCCCCCGTACCCCCGGAGTCGGCGGAAAGTTCTTCGAAATTTCCGGGCGAGGAGGCGCCGAAAAGACCGGTCGAAGAAGAGGCATCGGGTCTCGCAGGCGAAATTCGCTCGAGGAACCGTCTTGAGCGGACGAGTTCCAACTCCCGGAAGGGTGGCGCTCTGGTAGGTGCATCAGCGGAGGAGGAGGGGTCGAGCGGCGGTGGTGCCTTGCTGAGCGTTGTTGTGAACGGAGGGACGGTTTTGTCGGAGAACCGAGCCACGTCCGGCGGGGGCGTCTGGGCGGCGGGCGGGGCGGTGTCGGCGACGGGGGGGGTTGTCGTTAGGGACAACGTCGCGGGGGCTCTGCAGGAGGGCTGCGGCGAGGAGGTGAGGTGCCGTCTATCACGGACTCTTGGCGTGTGAATGAGGAGTTGTCTTGAACGGCCCAGGCCAGTAAGCACCTTCTCGGTCGGATTATTTTATCTGCAAAATGAGACGAGATGCTCCGGACGATGGACTCTAGACCTGAGAATGTCTTCAACGGTTTCAACGGTAGGCTAGTAAATAAATTTTTAGTAAATAAATTTTCTATCATGTCGCTCTCTGTTAGTAGTGAGACGAGATAAACTCAAACATGACTCTAGACCTGAGCATGCCTTCAATGGTAGGCCAGTAACCACACGTTTTCTGTCGGACCAATGTCTGTGTAAGTGAGGCGAGATAAGCTCAAACACGGGCTCGGCCCAGCACATGCTCGGGAAGGCAATACTCCCGATGGCGATGGGTATGATACCGCCGTCAAGCGGTAGCATCGCATCCACATTGCAGGGCACAAGGTTTTCCAAAGTAAAAGACTTCATGGAGGAGAGTACCACGAGCATCAGACTGGCTGAGTACCCCGAACGACTTTCTACGAGCCTACATCCCAACGCCCACGCGTCTTACCAATCTATCCATAGGTTGCGGCTGGTTTTCCACCCTCGTCCCTGCCGGCGTATCCGCCCCGTCTACCTCTTTCTCAGATCGTGGTTTCTTCAATTCTCGTGGCAAATCTTCCACACACACGAATGTAATGGGACGATGGCGTAGCTTGCTCGAGTGCATGATCTCGTCAACCTCAGGATAATATCTGTCTTTTGCGGGTTTTTTTTGTCGCCCTTGTGTAGGAGAGCTGCGGCGGCCGTGGCGGCGGCATGTGCATAGACGGCGGTTCTCTATCCCTGGAAGGCGTGTCCTTCGAAGGGAACAGGGCGGAGACCCACCAGGTAGGTGTAGGCCTTACCCCCGCCCGCACAGGCCCACACCCCATTTTTCATGCTCTCGACTACAATATTAGTAGCGCAAGCAGCTCCTGTATGTCGCTCCGGTAAGTTGTTTCACGCCCCCCTATCGCCGCCTTTGGGTTTGATGCGTGGTACATCCTGGTGTCGTCTCTCCTTGGCGTGACGGGTTTCCGAAGGGCAGACGGGGGAAGGGGGGGGGGGGGGGGGGGGG